GTGAGTACACTGCAGAATGCCTTTATTTTCGTATCTTTTCTTAACGGGTTAGTCGTAGGAGGTTGTAGTGAAAGAATGGTGTTCTCGAGTAGTAGCTCGTGGATTCGGTCTAGACGAGGGACGCTGGGAAACCGAACAAGAAATGGTGCAATAAAACGTTGTAAATACTTAAAAATGGAATATAATTAAATTTATAATGTGATTTACATGATTTTTCATCTTATTATGTACTACCGTAGAACGAGGGGTTGATCCGTAGTAGTTGGCCATAGGCCTACGTATTCGTATAGGCTTATCCCCCAAGGTGAGATCCGCCTACCAGAGTAATGAGGAAGGTGTCGTTTACTTTTCGGCCCATATCGGTTTCAATAAACGGAGAATGCTTCACCAACAATTGCCTTATAGTTGCTGGTAAATGTTAACCTTAAAATATATTCGCTTTGTCTCCGTCCAAACACCTAGTGTAGGTCATTAGAGTCGGTACTCTTATCTACAATATCTTTACCTTACAATGATCTGTGTGACCACCAGGTGACCTCGCTATTATAGTCGAGGTCAACTGAGGTCACACAGTCCGCCAGGTAGCAACAAACCCACCGTCAGGTCGTGAGTAAGATGACCTTTGTGACCTTGGGCAGAGGGGAGGATTGGGGCGGTTGGATTGGGGGGGAGGGGGCATGAAGGTGACACAGGTAAAGTCAGTGATTATGCTTGTTCAGAGGGAAATGGTTGTCAGGAAATTGATGTTTTACGGGACTAGTTCTTGTTTGGCGTGGGTGATTTGGAATCACGATGATTAGATAAGACTAGATAGTAGATAACGCGTGTTATCATGTGATATTTGGCAGTGGGCGACATTCATGCAGTGTATGGTCGTGACCCGAACGACCCAGTAAAAGGTCATGACCTCACTTTTAACCTGACGTATAATGTTAAATTAATTTCACAACCAAATGAGAGAGAGAGAGAGAGAGAGAGAGAGAGAGAGAGAGAGAGAGAGAGAGAGAGAGAGAGAGAGAGAGAGAGAGAGAGAGAGAGATGAAGGCTCTATGGATATCTTGGGGTACGTTGACCTGAGGACAAAAAAAAAAACTTGACAGGTTCCACCAGCTTTACCGTTTTGATTGTAAAGCTGTGCATTTGCCCAGCACTTGACTTGGCTCTTCGACAGACACGTACTGTGGTTCCTACACTTTACAAAATTCATAAGTATTGAAAAAATACTCTTTAATGTTTAGAGTTAATGCGTATGTATTTATACTTTCATGTTTCGTTACAACCATTTCTATATTGGTGGAACACGGTAGACATTGCTTTTAAATGCTTGATCACACTTATTTTATTGTACCATTGCACCTGGGTGGTTTGGCTGCATCTATGGTTAACGTGTATTCAATTTACATATCTTGCAATGTGTTCGTACTCAAACTTAAATAGAAAGCACATCATACCCACGGCCGACTTTATCTTGACATCTATTCCTGTCTCCGCATTTTTTACCTTTTCTCAGGAGAATATATATTGTTACCATTTCCGAAAATTTGTTAATGCAACTGGATGTGTGAACTAAACATAGAATTCACCCTGTAGGAGTTTATTCTAACTTTGCATACAGCCAGCCAGATTCCCAGCCAAGTTCAGACTCTGCCTCACATAACACGTGGTGGTATTCCGGTATGGAGTTGTCACAGAGTGCAATTTGTCCTGCTATTACACGTCACAATTTTCTGTGATAGGGGTCAAGACTTTACAGTTTAATTGGCAGTGAAGAGAATATTTAATTTGGCGATGTTAACCGCGCTCTTTATGCACCTACGAGTTAAAAGTCGGTGCTATAACACTTTTTTAGATAAGGAATGTCAACAAAAGTCACGCGCTGGCATCCTCCCCGAGACTTGCGTAGGCGGCGGGGTTGCCTAAAGTTTTGGCGGGAAAGTATGGCTCCGAACCGAGTTGATAGGGGTTGGGGGGTCATGCTAGGTCACATCGAAGGATTTGACAGCTGCTCTGATTTGAACCCGACTTCCACTAGATTCATTTATTCGATTTTTGGCGAACGTGTTCCTTGAATTTGCTCTGCTATATCGAAAACTCTAAGGAGAATTAGCAGACTTGTTGCGTGACTGTCGGCAAGGGTAAGGGGGTGATGGGGGTACGAGGGAGATGGGGGAAGGGGGGGGGACACAGCACATGCGCTCATTCTAACCTGGCGATCGCGCACGCGTTCCCGGGGACATCAACATTCCTGAGGGATAAATATTTCGGGTCCTCAGTGGCGTCAGGTTGAGAGCGGGACCTACTGCGCTGGCCATAATGCTCGCGCTTGTATGGTTTGCAGGTCCTTCCAACCTTACCTACGGAGGGAGGGAGGGAAGGGGATTGAGAAGAGGGGAATACAGGCGGGCGAGAGGAGGGAAGGGAATAGATAGGAGGTGGAATGATAGATAGGAAAGAGGTATTTCTCTTTGTAGTTCTAAACCTCCGCTGCAGTGGCTGTAACGTACCCCGCAGTGGATTACATTAGATATGAATAAATCACGGATTGACGAGGAGATGCGTATTGTATGTAATAACAATAATGAACACATATATACTCGCTGTTGTTATTGTCAAAGAAATGGCCATCATGCAGGTAACAAATGACAGGTTAACATGATGCGCCGTGACAAACCGGGGTTGCTTCTTGTAACTCGCCGTTATTTTTGAGTTACGGCTTTAAAATGAAAATTTATTTGTTCTTTGTATGCTTTGCTGTCTCGATAATGCTAAATATGATCGGTAAATATTGCCAAGCTTCTGGTAATGAAAATCGAATTTCCGATTACGTTAAAAATGAAAGCTTTAACTTCTGTCAAAAAAAATGTTGTTTATCATTCTGCCATTTGACACAATTGGACAACGAAATATTACATCGCGACAAAACATTAAAACTGGGACAACAGGAACGTTCCATATATGCGGGGTGTCGGCGAACACCCTCGTCTGTCATGTTTACACCTCCTGTGGCCTGCACGCACCTACGCCCTTACCTACACGCACATATCTGACGCATTCCAGAAGGATAAATTCAAGCGGACGTCCATGGCGGGAGTTATCCTGTCTCCTGTGGATATTCCCTGGGCGTTTTAAGGCCTCGGGGGTAGAATGGAGCTTTGCTTTATAAGGGAAAAACGAATCTCAAAGTTAGGGAATATGTTTTTTCTCTCGTTATGCCTCTGAAGGGCGTGTGTGTTGAGGGTATGGTGTGGGGGGTAAAGGGCAGGGGACAGGGGGCAGGGGGTGTAATTTTACCTGGCCACGGCCGACTCCATCTTGTCGAGGCGAATTCCAGAGACCGAAATGCAAGCGGGAATCACCGGTGGACTGAAGGACGCTTGCAGGAGGCGGCAGGTTCCTTTTCTTTGGAGAGTGATCGGCCATTTGTTTGATTAGGATGATTGGCAGTGATTGAATTTACGTATTTAGGAGGAAATGTAATTTTTTTTTGACGTTTCGTAATAATAAACGTAGTGGGTGAAGACGGATGGATGACGAAAATGGCCACAGTATAGAAAGTGTTTAATGTGGAAAAAAAACAAACATGTGAGTGAATGCGTGCGTGAATGTGACTTGTCTGATTTTTTTCTTATATAGGAATGGCCTCTGTAGAGAAAAGGAGTTTAACTAAATGTCATTGACAGTCGTTTTAGGCCTAATTATTTGTATGTGTAGCAGTGCCGTATTGTTGTTGTTTTCGTTTCTATGTTTATTTCGTACGGTTTTCTGCTGTGATCATTGGTCTACTTCTCCCATTTTAGGGGTTGACGATATGTTTTATGACGTGTATGTTCTTTTTTTTTCTTCAAAGTAAAGATGGTTTCTTATCGTCCGGCAAGCACCTGATTTATGTTATTGGTTAGTATTGGTGTTTGCATAGAATGGAAGGCGGTGTATTTTATTCACATTGGGCCAGTATCACGGTTTTTACTATATCCGATATACCTCTATTTTTTAGAATAAAAAAGCGAAATGACTTCAGAGTTTCTGGATTTTTCGTCAGAATCATATATATATATATATATATATATATATATATATATATATATATATATATATATATATATATATACTTCATTTTTTCTTGAGGTATATTTCTAGAATGTCCAGAAAGACATTAGATCAGTTTTCCGAAATTTGATTTTGATCAAGATTGCGTAATTTTTGGAGACCACTGGGCCTACTTACCCTATTTTTTGTATACTTTTCTGGATATTTTAAAATCAGAATTACCTTAATATTATGAGTTTTTCTTTCATTTTTTTTATATAGCGTGCACACACATACCTTATTTTTCGGGACTGTTTTCTCGTATCTACACCGTCGATTTTTTCTTTAGTATTGCATATCATAGATTTTATCCCTCGCGTTCGTAATTTGCGAGTTTTTTTATTGATTGCTTCCTTTCCTCTTATTTGTAAAGCGTGTGAAAACGGAGTGCAAGTAGACAGTAGATTATTTTGACATTGTTCTTATATATGTGTGTGTGTGTGTGTGTGTGTGTGTGTGTGTGTGTGTGTGTGTGTGTGTGTGTGTGTGTGTGTGTGTGTGTGTATGTGTCCGTTGGAGTCGTATTTCTTGTCCTTTAATTTTTTTTTCATATTTTCGGTCTCTTGTGTGTCCGTTTCCTCCTTTCCCTCTCCTCTCACCCTCCTCCCCTCCTTCCCTGCCTTCCTCTCATGTCTCTTTCTCTATCCCTCCCTTCTTGCTTCCCTCCTCCTCCCCTCCCTTCTTCCCTCCCTCCCCTTCTCCCAATCTCCACTTATCTCTTTCCTTTCCCGGCCATCCCCTCCTCATAATCGCTCTCTTATTTGTGTGTTGATTTGTCCAATGGCGATGAGCTTATTTATACAGTGATGCCTTTGTTTTCATCCATATGTTTTATTTCCAGTAAATCACAGCGGCCGTTTCACCTTGATCTTTACCGGCACTGTTTCCTTTCCGTCTTTGCTTTGTTTATCCTT